GATCTCATTTCCCCTTCTCTCCTTATAATTGCCTCTGAAGCTCTTTCTACCGTGTTAAACAGTTTATTTGATAAGCATGAGTTCATTTGGTTCAGTATGAAACCTAATGTCCCAAGGATTAATCATATCATATGCTGACAATCTTATAATTTTATGTGCAAGAAAATCTTTGAAACTGAGCTGTGGAATTAAATCCATTCAAGACATATCAGACAGCTTAGGAACTAAGCTGTGGTGGCAGTATAGAACTAAGAAGAGTCTTTTGGCTGATTTTCTGAACGCTAAATATGCCAGCAAAATCCATCCTGTAGCTAGAAAGTGGAACTATACTCAGTCGCACTATTGGAGGAGGCTTATGAAAAACAAAGATAAAATTGATCACTTGATTATGTGAAAAATCAATAAAGGAAATACAAGTTTCTGGTGGGACGATTGGTCTAGTAAAGGAGGATTAGCACAATATGAAAATGCCTCTACTTCTGTCAAAGGTCAGGTGTCTGACTATATCATCAATGGTCGCTCGAATACATTTAAGCTTAATCATGTTCTCCCTAATAAGAAGAATCCCTTTAAAATCCCCTTTTTTCTCTGGAGGCTGCTTAAATATAGAGTAGTTGTTGATGAAACTATGGGAAAATTTGGTATTCACTTACCCTCTAAATGTTCCTGTTACACTATTCATCACCAAGAAGATGAGGAACATTTGTTTCTTAACTGTATGATTATCCATAGGGTATGGAAATAGTTTAACCAGGCCTTTGGGATTCGTCAACAACATTACTGTCTGAGGCAATTGATTATTACTTGGTGGATGACCAAAGGGAAAAATGATGTTCAGAAGATGGCTCTACAAATCCTCCCTGGTATTAATATTTGGAATATTTGAAAGGCTAGATGCAAGAGCAGGTTTGACAATGTAGGTATACAGTCTCACAGAATTATTACCCAAATTTGTGATCAACTTATCATTATATCTTACAAACAATTTCCAAAGATTCCACCTCTCTTAAATTGGAAGACTTTTCAAGAGATCATAGAAATGGCTAGAGATCACGTTACTTCTGTTGCTGTCAAATGGAACTTTCCTCAAACTGGATTCATAAAACTCAACTCTGATGGGTGCTCCAAAGGTAATCCAGGTCTTAGTGCAGGAGGTGGTATTATCAGAAATGATAGAGGACATCTAGTGAAAGCTTATGCTATTCCTTTTGGAAACATGACCAATAATAAAGCTGAAGCTAGGGCCCTCAAATTTGGAATTCAATGGTGTAATATGGCTGGCATAAATAATCTAGAAATTGAGTGTGACTCTAAGCTACTTACTTATTGGATTTCCAAGAGCAGTGATCTTCCTTGGAATATTATCAAACACATACAATGATTTTTTTCACATATAGAGAGTTGGTCTATCACACACTGCTATAGATAATGAAACAAAGTGGCAGATATTTTGGCTAATTATGGTCTTGAATTCTCTGAAGCTACTTTCTTTTTTGAGTCTCAAAATATGCCTTGGGAGGCTAGAGGAGAGCTACACATGGATAGAATTCAATACCCTTCATTCAGGAGGAAGACTCACAAAAGCTCCTTTTGGATAGATAAAAACTTGTATAGGATCTATAATTTTGATGTCCCTTAATGGGTGTGCATATTGTGTAGAAGAAGTTCTCTGTAAACCTAGAGCTTACTTGAAATCCTACTTGACGTATAGAATGGAGCTTGTTCCATTCTTAATAGGTGCAGAGAGCTTATATAACGCTTCTGTTATATATTTACTACAATTATTAATAAAATGCTTCCACTCTCTATGAGGGAGTTGGACAGATTGACACAGCCAAAAAAAAAAAAAAAA